AAAGCAAGAGGTAGGTTACTTTTGTCGGAATCACTAGAAAAATAAGGATTTAGAGACGGGGAAAACAACTAGGACTGGAAACTTATTAGCATAGAAAGTCGTTCCAGTAAAATCAAAACTTGGAGCTACGAGGAGACAAAATTGTACCAGTAAAATCAAAATTAGGAGCCATGAGGTCACAAAGTCATACCAGTAAAATCAAAACTAGGAGCTACGAGGACGCAAAGTCGTTCCAATAAAATCAAAACTAGGAGCTACGAGGTCATAAAGTCATACCAGTAAAATCAAAATTAGGAGCTACGAGGTCAAAAAGTTATACCAGTAAAATCAAAACTAGGAGCTATGAGGTCATAAAGTCGTACCAGTAAAATCAAAACTATGAGCTATGAGGTCACAAAGTTGTACCACTAAAATCAAAACTGGGGGAGCTACGAGGTCACAAAGTCATACCAGTAAAATCAAAACTAGGAGCTATGAGGACACAAAGTCATACCAGTAAAATCAAAACTAGAAGCTACGAGGTCACAAAGTCATACCCGTAAAATTAAAACTAGGAGCTACGAGGACACAAAGTTGTTCCAGTAAAATCAAAACTAAGAGCTACGAGGACACAAAGTCGTACCAGTAAAATAAAAAATGGAGGAGTTACAAGAACACAAAGTCATAGCAGTAAAATCAAAACTGGAGGAGCTACTAGGTCACAAAGTCATACAAGTAAAATAAAAATTAGGAGCTACGAGGACACAAAGTCGTACTAGTAAAATTAAAATTGGAGGAACTCCGAGGTCACAAAGTCGTATTAGTAAAATAAAAACTGGCAGAGCTATGAGGTCACAAAGCCGTACCAGTAAAATCAAAACTGGGGGAGCTACGAGGTCACAAAGTCGTACCAGTAAAATCTAAACTGGGAGAGCTACGAGGTCACAAAGTCGTACCAGTAAAATCAAAATGGGAAGAAATTGAGACTAAAAATTGTTTAATATTTTTATGTTTTAAAAATGTAAAAAAAGTGTTGGTTGAACTAAACTTTTTTGAAGGTAGTTATCAGGATATCAGAACAGTTTGGGAGGTTGGAGGAGGTAGGTGCCGACAAAAATTCTGACAAAGCTAGAGGTAGGTTACTTTTGTCGGAATCACTAGAAAAAAAAGGATTTAGAGACGGGGAAAACAACTGGAAACTTATTAGCTCAGTAAATTAGAGAACCCGTTTTTAAATATTATTCATTTTTTTTAGATTTGTAGCACAAAAACGGAGAGCAGAACTTGAGGATCGATATCTTGTTTGTTTTACAAATCGTTAAAACGATTTAACTTAGATAGGCGACAGTTCATCTACCTTTTTTATTAATAACCAATAAATTTTTTATATTCAATTCATTCAAGTCATTAGAGAGGGAGAGAAATGAACTTAAAACTTTCATTCAACGTTATAGTTGCTCAAAATAACTCTTTAATATTAAAAAGTTTGGACTAATTATAAAGGAAAATATTTTTAAACTGACCGCCTATTTCGGGGACACCCCGTGATTTTCGGGTTGTCACCTTTAACTTTATTCAGGCTTAAATGTCAAAACTTTAAAAATCTACATCTTTTTTTAAGATCTAAATATTTATTTTATGCTAATCCATTTAAAGATTTAAACAGGTTTACATTACATTACAAGATATAGCATTACATTTATTCAGCTGATTTGGGGGCCAACACAGGTTTGCGGCCAAACTAGGCAGGGAGGAGAGAGCTGGTTGCTAACAGGTTGAATGCCGGGTCAAGACTGGGGCCAAGACTGGGGACAAAAATCTACATCAATGTTTAAAAACTTTGTCAAATTTAAATTTAAAAATTATCATGCCTCTTTTTATTAAAACAAGTGTGTTCACAAAAACATGAGCCCATTGTGTCCCAAAACAAACTTATTAATCAAAATCTAAATTTTGAATGTTTTTTTTAATTAAACATTGTCCTCCTGAATAACATGTATTATAAATATCTAAGAGGTAAGTTTCAAATATATTGTGATGACGGACAGCTGTAGTATATTTGAATTTCCGAACCAGGTCAGCTTCTCCAATGTGTTTTTCAATTTCAAGCTTTTTTATTTAATGGAAATCTTGACTTTCTTTTCTTCAGTTTAATTTAAAAATAAACGACAACAAGTAAATGTTATTGTTAACAATAAATTTAGAATTAAGAAACTAGAGTTAAGTTATAATATTGTTCATATCTAGTAATCTTCCTTAATCAATACTCATTTATCAAAATTGTAATATTGTTCCTAATTTTCATGCATTTAAGTATAACTAGTAATTTCTTTTTGTTCTTAAATTGCTAATGTTCCTATTATTGTTCCTGTTCCTAATATTGTGTCCGACCCACCTTAAATCCCTGTCCTAATCCTATATTTTTGTTCCTAATTCCTGATCAATCTTTTTATTGATCCTAAATCCCTGTCCTAATCCATTATTTTTGTTCCTAATTCCTAAACAATCTTTTTATTGTTCCTAAATCCCTGTCAGAATTCTTTAATTTTGTTCCTAATTCCTGAACAATCTTTTAATTGTTCCTAAATTCCTGTCCTAATCATTTATTTTTGTTCCTAATTCCTGAACAATCTTTTAATTGTTCCTAAATTCCTGTTCTAATCCGTTAATTTTTTAGTCTTAAGTCATTATTTTAACTGTTTTTAAGTACTTTAAGTCAAAAAAAAATTTCGCCTGCAGTACGATTTTTTGTTCCTAAAAAATCTTGCCACCCCCCCCCTCACTTAAATCCTGTATCCGCCCCTGTCTAAGAGGCTAAAATTGTGCTCATTGACTCGGAAATTGTATATGAATTTTGAAAATGGTCGCAATCTTGAAAATCCTTTAATTACAAGTCTGTGAACCCTTACTCCCCATTTATTTTTGAGACACCCTGTATATTTTTTGGTTGATACAATAAATATTGAACTTACTTGGTTGGGCCCTCATTTTAAGTTGGAACTTACCTGACCCCACAGAGGGTTTATGAACAGTGGAAATAAAATGTGTTGCCTCCATTAAAATTTTAAAAAAGCAACACAGAAAATTATATAATCTGCAAAATTTTTTTAAAATCGTATCATTTATAAATGTCATAAAATATGCAGGCAGATAGGCAGCAATAAAAATCTATGGTTAAAATCATAAATAAGAAACAACGTTCTGTTGGCGTGCTAAATGCTAACAGCTGTTGAAAATTTGAAGATTGTGTTAACTAGCAAGAACATTAATGAAATAGAATAAATGGCAAATTTAAGTAAAAGAACAGATACATTTCAAAAAACACTTCTTTTGATCCTCAATGTACTTATTATACTCTGTCAAGGTCCCTCTCTACAGGACCATAACCATTGTGTGCACTTTTTTTTATAAAATAGTAAATCTTTCTTTAAATGGGAACAAAAGTTAATGTGATAATTTTTAAAAAGACAATTATTAACTGTTTAAAATACCTTTGCAGCTTGAATGAGCATCCTGTTTTAGCCTTAAACATATCTAAGATATATCTCTGCTTGCATTGGTCAAACAGATAATTTGGATTGCATACAATTGGATCTGGTAGATTTACAATCTGTTCTAGGTCCATGAAAACGACTGTGTTCCCACCATACCATTCAGTCTGAAATTTGATGTCATATCCTGACCCAAATAATCCAGTTTCATGGACATAAACCAACATGTTTTTAGGATCAGGTCCCTTCAATCCATAGGAATGAAAAATCTTGATTTCTTCCACTTGATGTAAATTAATGGTTTTGCAAACATGCATCAAATCATTATCAAACCAGTAAAATGCACCAACTGATGAGCTATAAACATCACTGATGAATTCATAAATGAATTCATCTCTATACTTGGAAATTACTTGAAGCAGTGGCTGAATCTGACCAGCCTTATCACTCACATCATAATCAATCTTACAAGCTGTCAAAGACATGTTGATAACTGTGTTTAAATCTTTAAATTCAACTGAGCTACCAGTTGGCTTTGAATCCAGTTTAAGTGCAGATAAATAAATTTGGATTGCCATGACTACCATCAGGCTCATTACGACCAAGAAAAATATTAATTGAGATAACCTCTTACTCCATTGATGTAAATAACATTCCATGTATTTCCCAAAATTCAATAAACTAAACAATGAAATACTTAAAATATAAAATACTAGCTTTTTTAAGCTATATTTTATAGTCATAGTCACTCCCTCCCTTTATCAAAATTATGATTTCATGATTATGAAAGCCAATTTGGTCCAGCTAATTAGCCAGCTATAGCAAATATACCAAACTTAATATTTTTAAAGATATTTATGAAACAATTGCGTACTTTATCATTCTTACTCACTTCATTGTGAATTTCATAATGAATGTGCTATAAAGTATTCATTGTGCTATAAGGTTAAATGATATGTATATATTATGGCACCATGCGATTATGTATTCATCATGCTATAATATTAAATTAGTTGTACATTATTGCATATGTGCTATAAAATAGATTGGAATTATTCCAGGATTTTCTCCAAAAAATTAAGATATTTTGAAAATATGTTTTTTCAATTGAAATGAAAATAAAATTTAAATCAATATTATATTTTGACTTCTGGTTTGTTTCAAAACTTATTTGATCTATGAAATAGCCATTTATATAAGACAAGTACACAAATCTTTCATAAAATTACTTATAACACTATTATTTTGGCACTACCTGCTATCAAGTTTTTGGACTTGATTTTCTCTATATCATGAAGGTTCTCGCCTTTTTAGATGATATTGCACTCCCAGATAAAGCGTGGGACAAAATTAAATCTTTTTTGGAAATCTAAATATTTATTAACTTTTTTAAAATTGTACAAAGGAGTTAACATGTAATAGACAGATTCGTTTACAATATTTAAGATTTGTGAAATAAATACAAAATTGCTTACATGTGTTTACATTTTTTTTATGAGAGATTTGTATAAGGGCCAAATACGTACATTTCTTTAATTAGAAATTTGGATTTAGGGATACTTGGATCCTGCAAGACATACAAATTGAAGAGTGCAACAATGAAAGTGTAGAGAATAAATTGCATAAAATATAATTTGAGCATTTTATGAAGAAAATCAATTTGAGCAAAGCATTATACAGTTTTTATGTAACAATGGTATAATGTCACTGTATGCAATATGGAAGAAACTACGATTGTACTAACGAAGAACATTGAAAGTTCAACGTTGGTATGGCATTACATTATTTAAACTAAGTCGTCTTGATGCTAATTAGCCGACGTAAATATAGAAAACGATGTATTTAAGGTACATTGATGGTTCCTTCATGCATGTTCCTTTCTCTCTGTAGTTAATAATCTACACGGCCCAAAATCAAGAAGTGTTAAATGTGAAAAAGCTTATTGGAGAAGCGTTTAGTTTCAATTGGAAAAAAAACAAATTATGCTTAAGAACTAGACTCACGTAGAACATTGGTTCTGCGCTACTGTCTAGGACATTGAAAAGAGATTAGTGCTTAACCTCTATATTTCTCTCAAATCATCAAGATATAGAAAGGTATGGTGCACATTTATATTGTGCAAAGATTTAGAGATATCGATGTAGCGTAGTTATCTCCTCTTCTTGAGACATCATGATTTCTCGGCAGTGAGGTTTGACGGTTCAGGAGGCGTTACAGTTTCCTCAGACGTTATTATGTGCTGAGTGATGAAGCTGTAGGATCTGCTAGTTTCTCTGAGGTGCTCCGCTCACTCGTCCTCCAGGTTTCAGTTTAACTAGGTAAATAGAGAACCATGACGAAGGGAAAAAATTCGAGTCTGTCGGGGTTTTAATTAAGCATGTTGATAGAGTTCTAATTCTGGAATTTCGAGTATCATTGGAAATCGAGGCTTGAGTTAAAACATTGAACTATTAAGTAAGAACTTTGTTTTTAGACTACTTTAATATCCTGGATGTTTTAAATCTGAAGTATCAAATTATAGATTAAAAGATGAGAAAGTCTTTAAACTAAGACAACTGCCATTGCATACTTTAAGTTGAAATTTTAATTGAATAATTTTAAATAGCATGTACATTAGTTCTGGTTCAAAAGGGTTTCGACCTTTGGAATCCAAAATGACCCGTGTGCACGTCCCTGCTCTCTGTATAAAAAGGATTAAAAATTCGTTTATAATGAAGGAGATCTGCCAGTCTTCCCGGGAACTTATGGAAATATATTTTTTTACCGTTATTTTCTGCTGAGAGGTGCAGCTATGGGATCCGCCAGATCCTCTGAGTTTCGCCGCTCATTCATCCTCCAGGTATCAGTTTAACTAAGTATAGAAAACAAACTATGAAGACAAGAAGAGAGAATTCTTATATTTCCCTTTGATATTAAAGCCCTTGGGATTTGAAATATAATATGTTGATAAAGTTTTAATCCCGGAATTTCGAGAATCATTGGAGTTCCAGACTTAAGTTGAAGCGTTTGATTGAGTAAGATCTTCAATTTCAGACTGATTTAATATCTTGGAAGTTTAATATTCTGGCTATCAAATTAAAGATAAAAGAAATAAAGATAAAGAAGTCTTTAAACTTATATAGCTGGCATTGTATACTTTAAGTTGTATTTTTATTGGAATTATATTCAATACATGTACGTTAGTTTTGGTTCAATCGGTTTTTCAACCTTTACAATCCCAATTGATCCGTGTGCACGTCCCTGCTCTCTGTATAAAAAATAATTGATGGTGAAAAGAATTCAGCCAGTCTTCTCGGGAACTATGGGAAAATATTTTTTACAGTTATTCTCCGCTGAGAGATGTAATTAAGGGATCCGTCCGATCGTCTGAGGTTCGCTGTTCGTTTTTCTTCCAGGTCTCAGTTTAACTAGGTAAGGAGAGACCCATGAAGAAAGGAAAAAAAGGAATATTTCATTTCCCTTTCAAATCAAGGCAGTCCAGGTTATAAATTCATTACTCTTTGCGATTTAGGCCGTATAAAAAGGCACTCAAACAAATTTAAATTGCATATACTTAATATTACATAACTTCAAGTCTTACTTTCAGAGGAGTGATATTTAAATTGCATATACTTGATGTTGCATAATTTCAAGTCTTAATTTCAGAGATGTGATATTCCAGATTAAACTTTTAAAAGTCAGAGATTAATTAAATTAGATTTTGGCCGTGAAAGAATTTTTTAATTTGAATTTTGAATTTCAGTCGTGGGGTAAGGATTCTTGGAATATTAAATAGACATAGCTAAGTGAGACTAGTGGAAAATTCCAAATCCTAACCCAATTAACCTTCTTGACCTCAGAAAAAGAAAAAGCACACTGACATAGAACAAGGTTGGCACGTGTTCCCACTGCATCTTGTTAAATCCTATATAATCTTTTTTACCGTAATTATCTGCATTGTGACTAGCAAATCTGAGATCTGCCGAGATATAGGACCGCATGTCAGCGATCGAGCGATTCCTTGTCTCAACCGGCTCCAGCATTCAGGGTCAGATGGTTTCTCGTCTAACTATATTACAAAAATTGCGATTTTAAATATATATGTGGAGGTTTAAAAAATTTTTTTTCAAAGCCGGAAATTATAAAATTATTTTCAATAATGAAAGAACAGTTCTTTTTTTGTTAAGTTCACTTTTAATTTTTTCCTTCTTAAAAATTTATAAACGCCCAATAATACTATCAGGAGTATTTGCAACTGAATTAAATAGAGGCATCAAAAATGTGCAGTTGAAACATGTCGGACATTTTATTTTTTGAAGAAATCATTAAATTTCATTACAATATATAACATATGAAAGGAAGGTAAAAATCTTTTTTCACTTTCACAAAGGAGACTGTATTTTGTGAGGTTTGTTCTTACCCTTTTCCTCAAGCCATTTAGCCAGGATTCACTCCTCATGTGTGAGAAAGTTGAAATTTTAAGGCAGTAGGATTATAATGAAAAATAGGATGGTTTTAAGAGCTTTCTTAATGTCAGATAGTAACATAAGTCAGCAAAAATAGGAAATATTTTAACTTTGTGACTATCACTGTTAAATAATCAGATAAGTCAGCAAAAATAGGAAATATTTTTATGTTTAGGAGTTAAAAGAGTAAACAATACTGACAGGTAGTAACATAAGTCAGCAAAAATAGGAAATATTTTAATTTCATGACTATCATTGACAAATAATCAGATAAGTCAGAAAAAAATAGGAAATATTTTTAAGTTTAGGAGTTAAAAAAGTAAACAATACTGACAGATAGTAACATAAGTCAGCAAAAATAGGAAATATTTTTATGTTTAGGAGTTAAAAAGGTAAACAATACTGACAGATAGTAACATAAGTCAGCAAAAATAGGAAATATTTTTATTTTTAGGAGTTAAAAAAGTATTTTTATTTTAGGAATAAAATTGGAAACTAGGATAGGAGTAGGATGAGTTAGGGGATTTAGGAAAAGGAGTTGGAAGATGGATGAGGTGTAGACGAAGAGACGAAAACTGAAAGACTAACCAGGGTTTTGCTGGAAAGGCGGGGGTACCCATGTGAGGGGGGGGGAGACTGTGCAGGGTTTCGATTTTGTGTTGTGGACATTCAGAAAAAAAATTAGCGTTTTGCTTGTCTCTGATATGACATGGGCGGCTGCGAGCGTTTCGCGGCACCTGAGGGCTTCAGGTCCTCGAACCCCCACAGGACTCTCTGTGAGCCTCAACACATTGGGAGAACCTAGTGCCGCATGGGATGGAGGGGCCCAGGGTTGGTTTAGGTCTGTCCATTACCGGCTCTTGACAACTTCCTCAGTAACGCAACCCCTTTCATCCCTTGGCAAAATTGCATTAAACCCTTCAGAACCAAAGTCATCAGACCGTTGCTCAGGACAGGAAAGGATCGAATCCTTGGACATGTGTAATGGCTCAGCATTGCCGCCTTCGGCCCCCCCTCCCTGCCCATGACACCGGACTCCCTCACAACTAAATCCCCCCCAGCACAGTCCCCAACACCCTCACCCTGTGCCTCACTGGGGCTGTCCAGCCTATCGAGCATCCCCTGGAAGTCTCCTCCACCTCCGCATGCAGCCTCCTCCACCTCCATAGGAATCAGTTTGTTAGACATTTCTCTGAAAAATATAATCATAGAGAAAATATATTTTATGATTTTAATGTAAATGATTATATCAGGACCTTTTACAAACCATTTAAAATGGTTTGCGTCATGTATTACTTGCATATTACGCATGCTTCTGAGATTACTTCTTACGAGTATTTCTCGAGAATTTTATTTTAGTTCTTCCTCGGTAGGACGCCACGGTTTGTTCCAGATTATCCGGATACAAGAAGAGGCCAACTTTTTTGTAGAAGGTTATATTAAAGTGAATAATATCTAAGTTTGTTGCCCTTGACTCATAACACGGACTGTTTTTTTGCTTTAAGTTACGCGGTTCGTCAGAATCATCCTCGAGGGAAGGATTCCGTACGAATATTATTGAATTCTTTCCTCTAATATGAAATTGGCTTAGCTTGCGCTGTGAAATGATTGAAATTCCTTTTTTTAATTCGGAACAAAATTAAATCTATAAAGGCGAGAATCTCAATTAAGACAAAATTTCTGTCCATAAACTTTATAAGACTGTGAACCAAAATAACAGTGTTAAAATAGTTATTTTCGTTTTTGACCTTATTTACCTGTAGCCTAGAAGAATTCCAACCCAACCACCAACTTCAGATATTAAGGCCACAATATCATATGAGAAATAAACCTTTAACAAAATGCTTATATTAGAAAGTGAAGGGTTATGCATCAAATGTGTTAAGATGTAAGGTACTTTCCCAAGTGGAAATTTTCCAAGGGCTTTTTCCCAAAACGTAACTTCCCAAATGTTCACTTAATGTAACTTTCCAGAGAGGTGACTTCCCAAATTCACATTTTCCTATATGTAATATTTATAATTTAGCTCAAATCTAGTTTCAGACTCAGCCACCGCCATATACTATCCTATCCTAGTTGCAACACTCAACTATCTAGCCCATTTTAGCCACCCACCCCCACTGTAGCTTGCTTCACCTTAGATCTAATACTCTGAACTTTTGCCTCTGTGGTCCCACAACACTAGACTCTGTATACTTGTGTAGATTGTAGACTCTTAGTGGACTACTATCATGTTGACTTGTGAAATATAAACTATCAAAGGTTTAACTTTTAAAGTGCAGAGCTCTGCCTCCTAGTCTATCCTTCTGCAGCATGCACTTGGCTCAAAAGGCCATTCTAGCCACAATGCCTGGTCCCCTGACCTGTATTGTAACTTGAAATTATTCCCTGATGGGAATGATGCTACTATTTCTTTCTGAATAATTTGTGCATTTGGAAAATTTCCTAAGTAAAGTACACACACCATTTTAAGAAATAACACATGTTCATCAATCTTCATATCCAGGCAATCTGAATTTAACCTTTAACTGGCATATATTGCAGACATTATATGGCCTATTTCATTTTTTGCCGCCTTAAAGTGAAAAATTACAGGAAAAAAGTTGTCTTGGTCTCATTTCTAATCAGGCCAATTTATAATACAGGATTATGTTTAGTTTTTAGTGAATTAAATCATATGTAACAAAAATTATTACTGAAGCATAGAGATATTTGGGGATAAAATCCCATAGTATATTGCAACAATTAAATACCTTATTCAGGACTGCAAAGTCTGGAAATTTTAGATAAAAATCTTGTGAAATATTCTTGTGATCCATGGTTTTCTTTTGATAATGCCATTTATCTATCAATTTCTCTTTACTATATTTGATATTCAGCTGATTTGTTGGATATTCACATGTATTTGAAAATTCAGTTGAAGCAAAGATATGTTTTATCCTTTTTAATACATCATTCTTAAGGCCAGAGGTGAAGTTAGTTGTTTCAGTTGGATTTAAAAAGCTTGACTTCACATTTGCTTGTTGGCTTATCCATGACAGAACACATTTATCATATGTTAATCCATCAGTGTAAGAGCTTTGGATAACTTCAGTTTGGTTTAGAATATTCATTTTGAATGAAGTGGAAGAAGAATAAATATTAACATTATCTGTGTTCAAATAAGTAGTTGATAGATCTATGATACTAAATCCTTGTCGGGAATTTTGATGCAGCATCTGACCAGAAATGTGCACATAGCAGATTAATTCTTTTTTAGCAATAATTTTTATTTGGTCAATTCTATTGTTAAAATTCAACTCAAGTGTGTGACATGTTTCAAGGTATTTTCCTCCAGTCAGAATATTTATGGAGTTGTCCATGAAATCTGATGATAAATCCTTACTAGCATCAAAGAGAATGTTTTTTTCTCCATTTTTAAACCAAACTTCTAGTTTACTAATCTTTTGATACAGTTTTGTGTTATTATTCCAGAAATTTCTATCTTCCCCAACATATTCATTTCTTGAGGAATAAACACTTTCCAGGGAACACAGTGAAATACTCATGTTCTTGTAGTCTGATACAATCTTGATGTCAGAACCAGTTTTCTTTTCTCCCAATTTTAGACAGGAAGAAACAAATATAACAGCTATCATTGAGCACCCTAACATTAGCAATCCTCTTGATAAAAAAGTTTTAGCTTTCTCTTGAATTTTCAAAGTCTTCATTAGCAAATCAAAGAAGCTTGTGATTGAAAACCCTATTAGCAGTCCCATCCAACCACCAATATTTCCAATAAAAGAAATGAAGGAATAACTCTCCTCAAACTCAGACAGACATACTTCTTGAGGAATTGTAACATAGTAAGCAGCATTTTCGGCATTTAAACCCCGTCCTTCCAGTATATTATAAAGAAAGCTAACAGGAGTGGTAACTATTCCTACCTTAACCTGTGTACAAGGCACATTGCATGCAGTAGAGACTGATTGAAAAATATTAAATGCATCTTGACTTTCGTTAAAAGTTTTGCATCTTGGCAGTTTGGTACTATCTTTGCTTTCATTAATTTCCATGAAGATTGGCAAACACTTATGTTCAAGATGCTTTAGGTTAGTATTTAGTACACAGGTATCATAATTATAACTCCTTGTACTGCACATGAAGGATGGAGATGAAATCATTTTAATTACTGATATCTGAACTTGCATGTCATAATGCTTTAACTTATGTATATCTTCTACATCATTTCTGAGAAAACTCTGAAGAAACTCTCCCTCATTGTGGATGAAGACATATAGATCTAAAAATACATTTAATTAGGTCTTATTTGTATACTCACAAATGTATGGCATTTATAATCCAACCTTTGACATCCTGTGGAAAGAGTCGAAATTTTGACAACTTTGAGATACTTCTGTTCCATGTGTGACAAAGAAGAATGTTATCATCAATATATGGGAACATTTTCATCCTGAGGGAGAAAATATGTGCTTGTCAAGAAATGGAATTTGGTAAAAAGTTAAAGTACTATATTTTTGGAAAATCAAAATGTGACAATTAGAAAACTGCGAAGAGAATAAAGTCTATGTTCTACTTTTCTTTTAAGAAATGATCCTCTTCATTAGAGATGGATCATTATCACTTGTTTTACAATGATAGTTTTGTTTTAAAGATGTCAAAGAAAAAAAAAAAAGTTGTTTTTTAAAATAGTCTTTTAGTTTGTCAAAGATTGTTTTTTAATTTTTGATGATTGTTAAAAACAACTCTTTGTTAACGAGGGTTAACAGTGACCCTTTGTTAACAATCCTTAACAACTTTTTTTTAGACAAAATACAGGTTTTGGTTGGAAAATATTGGGTCATAAAATGTTCAGGTTATTTCTATTGATTGTTAAAAAAAACCATTTAACAGATAACATAAAACTCAGATTAACTGGCAAATTTTTTTCAAAAACTATTGTATCTTTTTGTTTGTTTTTAAAGGTCAATGCAAGTGGTTTGTTTGTTGTGACACATATTTTTTTTACAATATGTGTTTCAGCCACTTTTATAAAAGTAGTTAATCTATTTGTTGCATAATTAAAATAAAAAGAAAAGGACAAAGAACAATTTGAAATTATCATGTGACTATATTGCTGGAGGGCCACTTAAAATTATGTTGACAATCCATTTTATAATAACTAAAGGAAATTTGACCTGAAAGAATTCCCACTGGTTTTATTAAAAACGGGCTCCCAACTTCCTTCATCATTTAGAATATCAATCTTGTAAATGAATTCAGTTATTCTGTATAGGATATAAGCATTATCCATCATTTCTAAAAATGAATCTCCATCTGGGGAGTAGGGAGGAATTACTTTTCCTGAGGAATACCATTGACATTCAGACTAAAATTAGAACAGTATTATCAAGAATTATGCGAAATTTTTGCTGGAAACCCTAGCTATTCCTCTGTTGTTTTTTGGAATTTTACAATCTGTAAAAAGGTTGGAGCAACTGTAATATGAACCTTTTGCAATAAAACAAAATATCCGCAATATGTATTTCAGAAAAAAACACAAATTTAGTCTTACTTTAAACCAGTATTTTGATAAAACCTTTCACGGACAGTTTCGCATTTCTTTGGATAGGCAAGTTAGATAAAACTTATTTTGAGACATGTTTCACCTCTAAATTGTCCTTCGCTGCGCTCAGGACAATTTAGAGGTAAAACACGTCTCACCCACGCAAAATATTCCCTTGAATATAAACCATTAGATACTTTTCCCGCAAAAAAAAATAATATCCCGCACTTTCTAAATCAGCCGTACATTAATAGTTAAATTATCATTTTGCAATTATCCAACATTTTCTCAATTCCAGCATTAGTGGAACCTGAGTCTTTAAGGAATACCATTGAAAGTTACAAAACAGTTACAAAGTTAGTGTTACAAACAGTTTCTGTTCTAAATATCAACAATGAGGAACATGATCTTCATGAGCTTGAACCAGACTCCTATCCTTTACCTGACCAGCACCAATGTATTGATTGGGATGGAAAGTTTATCAAGGCAGTTTGAGAATGAAGTAATGCAAAGATTATAAGAAAATCCATGCCAAGCTAAAAAAGGACTATAAAACGAAAACATGTTTTTATGCCGTTGAAAGTTTGTCTTGTATATAAATATCTACAAATTTTATATTAAATTAGTTTTCTTGAAATAAAAATAGTTTACCTCAAAACCATAGAATGGATCCCCAAAATCAGCATGGAAATAAAAATCAAATACAGCCATAATAATTATGGATGACAAAATGGAACTAATGAACTGAAAACTATATGTAGATATAACTATAGGTGTTAGGTACTTACTCAAAGGCTTTTTCCCAAGGGCAACTTCATAAGTTGCAATTTCCCAAGTGTGCAATTTCCCAGGTGTGCAATTTCTCAAGCAGTAACTTCCCAAATGTATATTTAAGGTTAGGTCAGGCAATGTGGAGAATGCAGCCTCGAATGGGCTCTGGGGCTCAGTTCTGAAGGTTTGGAAAGTTGTTGCTGGGAAATTTCCCCCTCAACTTTCATAAATTTGCAACTGTTTATAGTATTACCCATTACAATTCATATATCTCAATTGGTTACCAAAAGTTAACCCTTCAACCATTATCTATTAAATTTTCAGAGTTTTAAAATTAACAGTTCTGTTTTGTTTAAGTGAGTAAAAAGTAACCTTATTCATATATTATTGACAACTGTGATATGAACAGTCATTCAAATTAAGGCCTGATGGGTAGGGACAAAAATATGTACTGCTGCTAATAAATTGGAAAATACCTATTGAACAGTCACCAACTCTTAGCTTTTTACAAACAGACAAGCGCAAATCAGGTGCTACATCTAAAAAAATTTCATTGAATAATTGTATGGCAAAATTGTGTCAATTTTTTTCTTCAGCTTTTGGGCCACAAACCATTTTGCAACATAATCAATAATTTAATTATAATCAATATTTTAATAAATATTATCATCTAAAAAAATATTATTAAAAACAACTTTTGACTTTCAGTGTAGTAGCAGCATAGTTTCTCCATACCTATTGTTGGTTTGATGGTCTCCTGGAATATTTTTGGTTCTTTGATGAACAGTTCAGTTGCAGTATATCCTTCCCAAGATGTTATACCAATACAAACACAAACAACAATTACCTAAAACAGTCAAACTCAAACCTAGAGCATTGTATGTCTGTACATCTTTCAATCAGTTAACAGGTCAAAAAATAAATCAAACATTCTGTTAATGAAAGAAAATTTTTGCAAATTAAAAGATGAATCCGATAACAAATGGCAAAATTCCTTAACTTAGAAATAGTTGATGAAGGAAAAAGAACAGCAAATATTAAAAATCAAATAGATGTTTTTAAAATAGCAGCAACCTTTGTCAAATTTTAAAATTAATTTATTAAAATTACATTGACCTTACAAAAAAAAAAAAATCTTTTTTTACTGTAATTTTTCACACGTTGATGTTTTAGTAGTTGTTTTTAATTTTCCTTACTATTTTTAGATGCAATAATTGTTAATGGCTTCATTAGGTATATCTTGTATATGTTTTGAATGTCATTAATAAGATTGATATCATTAACATGTTGTAAATTAAAAAAAAAATGGAAATTACCATTTACTGAAAGAAGCATTAGGTTTTAGCAAATAATTAACAGATATATGAAAAGTATGATTTTGAACTATACCAGTTTGAACAAAAGTCTGAAAGTGCTGAACCCAAACAAAGGGTTCTTTTTCATGCAAATATCCAAAGCTTTTCTAATATATGCAGTTTGTGTAAATACACATTGATAATAAACTACCATTGATAAAAGGTTTTACTCCAAAGACTCCAAACCAGACACAGTTATTTGCTTCCCATAAGATCTTAAATAGTTTACCTTTAAAATCCTTAGAAATTGTAAAAATAAAGACTTTGATCTTTTAGTTTTCTTCATTTTAGGAGATGTGTTGATCATTTTATAATATCTAATATATTGAATAATTAAAGAGAATATTTGAAAATGAAGTTTGGTATCATATTTGCTAGCGAACAATATTTTTGTAAACAAACTAAAAAAATTTGGAAGGATGTTGTCATGAATAATGTGTATTTGCTAAATGAATCGATTAAGAACAAAAGAGAAAATCTAAAAGAATTTGCAATCATTCAAAATGTTCTCGTTCATTACACAGAACAGTTTTAAATGGTTTCCATCTTGATTGAAGTACTATCAAAGAACCCCACTAAATTGGAGATCATTAGATTTGTATTAAAGTGCCCCAGATTTTCATTAGATTTACTCCCCTTGATTTTCAAAGGAGACCTCTTAATTTTATTTCATAAACCTTCCTTTTTTTTCTCTGAGTTCTCTATTGGAAATCTATGGGTCTCAAATGAATATCTAGAGGTAGCCAATGAAAAAATAATGGTCTCCAATGACCTCTTGGGGTCCTTGATGAGACAGCAATGGAAATCTGTAATGAAATTGGGTCTATAATAGTAATAGTTTTTACATTCTCAAAAATCTGCTATACATCTTGTTCTTAAACTTAGGTTACATAAAGAAAAAGGTATATGCAAAGCTTGAACAGCTACTATACAGTATTTAAAGAAAAGATGTCATTTGCATCAGATATTTTTATTTGACTAGACTAAATACTTTTAAAAAAGCCTTGCTTTTTATTAATTCATTGCTGACTACAAAATTGTGTTTTAAGGTAACCAGGACATTGAACAGCCTCTGTTAAGTAAACATTTTCATTTAACTTACGTAAAGAGAGGCGAAACTGGGTTAATATATTTTTTTGGAGGGGGTTCGTCAATCCTAGAATTTAAATATCTAATTGACTTAATCTATGTAATTTTCACCATTTGCTTTTACAGTAAGTAAAGACTTTAAATATTTGTGTTTATGGTGACTTTACCAATGTTTGTGGAATTTTCCCGAGTAAACACTAACTAAATTATTTTGCTGTTGAAGTGAAATGTTTATTATGCCAGAGGCCGAATTAAAAGAATTTGAGCCATTGCTTATATTTGAGGCACAGTTCGAATATGGTTTGTTTCACTTAAAATTGTATTAAATGTTTCAAGATTTATGCCAGGGCTCAATTTAAACCCTGTCTTGGGGGGATTTGAGATCCGGCTCAAATTCATTAAGTTGGCACTCAATTCATAATATTTCTAACAATGAACTATTATTATAAAAATATAAATGAAACAATGCAAACTATGAAAAGACAAAAATAGTTATAAATAAAAATTCAAAATGGTTTTATTTAAATATGTATTTATCTACATGAAAAATCAAAACAATAAAATTATTTAAAAATAATAAATTGATAGAACATATCAAGAAACCATATTCCTAGTTCATTATTTTGCCCACATTTAACAACTGTTGAATACCTACTGGCTGTACAATATTGAAAACTTACTAGACATGTTCCAACTAGGGCTGGGCATGTTCCAACTTTTTTTTAAATCGTTCCATTCCGTTCTAGAACAAGGGCCTTAAGCTAGATTGTTCCTTTCTGGTTCCTTATTTTTCAATCGTTTAGTTCTTGTTCTGTTCTGTCCCATTTGCTTCGTTCTGAGTAGAAGAACAGTCATTCTGTTCCGTTCCGTTCTTGGCGTTCTTAGTCAAAGAACGGTTCCATCCCCCTTGTTCTGCTCTTAGTCAAGAACGTTTCCATCCCCCATTCTGTTCCTGGTAAAATAATGATTCAATCTAAGACAAAAGTTGTATAGAAAAGAGTTGGTTAAATAGTAAAAAAAATTATGATTTTATTATAAAAAGTTCCTCACAGCCATAAATATACTTTGAATTATATATTTTAAATTTAGGGTTAAAAGAATAAGCTTAGATAGATTTTTGGGCCAAGCAATGTATAATTTTGTGCGAGCGGGGGGAGGTGCTGGAGTCCTAAAATCCTTTATATGTACAATATACAAAAGTTAAACTGAAACCTGCTCTGTAGTCTTTTGTCAGTTTTGCAGAGGTCAGGGAAGGGTGGGGGGTGGCGCGTTAAGAGAGAGGGGAGGGCCGGGGGTTCAGGAGATCAAATCAAAAAATCTTTCAAATATTTTCAGAGCACATTTCTGATTTAAAAAGCGTTCTCAACTTAGAAGGCCTTCTTGATAATAAGAATGCATTCCTGATTTTAAACATTCTTTTCAAAAATTTCCTTCCGTTTCTTTTACAAATTGTTCCAACATTTTTAAGAACACGTTCATTCTTGATTGTTCTGTTTGTTCTTGTGAAAGAATAATCGTTCCCCAGGAACGACACCCAGTTCTAGTTCCAACTTCTTTCAATCTATTCACTATCTAGCTGTCTGTTTTTAACCAAAATCACTCAACTTTCCGTCCAGCTAAAAGGTTTTTCAAAATGTTAATAAAATTGGTGTTTGTTTATGATCTTGATTTTTTAACGTTAAATGTGAGTAAGTTTGTTAAGTTGCTCTGTACTTTTGGACTCAAATTAAAAATTTGATTAGATAAAAGTAAATTTCTTTTAGGTATATTCTTTCATGAACATTTAATTTTAAAATGTTCCGTTTTTTGTAATCCATTTGTTCTTTTCAATTTTCCTTTAATTTCTCTTCATGAAGAGAATTTTTTTGGTTGTTTTTCATTAATTTTTAAAAATTGTCATTTGTTCACAAATCATTGCCCACCCCTAAATATAAGGAAACACCTTTAGAACAAGCAAAAAACTGATATTCATGTTTCTGTTTAATTGAATTGTTGGGGCATGTTTGGAGAATGGGCGAGGTCAAAAATGGTTCTTTTTAATTTTCAATATTGTAAAAAAATGAATATATTTAATGTTAGATCAAATACGTTTACAGGTATAAAAGGTTAAACCATCAAGGTTCGATACAAAGACTTAATTCCTTTATATATAATTAATATATTAAGAACTAATCTATATTACCTTGATAATTCTATTAAAGAAATTATTTTTTACAATCGTAATACAATCTCTTTCACAAGCCACGATCTTACTGTAGTACAGCATAGGAGTGTACTAGTATACAGGAAGGTGGGGGGGATGGTTGCAGTCCTTCACAATGTGGTATCTAAGGAGGGGGTCAGAAAAATGGAGTATTTAAATTTAAAAAATGTATCATTAAACTATTGCAAAATACATTAACTGTCAGGCTTGCTTCACTCTAGTTCTACATGAAAGAATATATTAGATGCGTATATAATTTTAAACTATAAAGTTTATGAAATTAAAAAAAAAAAATTACTTAGAATTATTATGAAAATTGAATATTAGAATGTAAAAATTGGAATCGAAATTGAAGATTAGAAGTAAAGTTTGAAGATTATAATTAGAAATTTGAGATTTTAATTAGAAAGTTATAAAATTTTGAAAATTTCACTTCACTAGAGATTTATATATATATATAAAGGATTTTTATAATCTAATATTGGAGTTGGTCAAGTAATGTTAGTATTGAGTAATTCGGACATCTGAGGAATATAGCTGGAGATAAAATCCTGGATCTTCCTGTGCAGTGTATCAATCCATCAGTAATAGTTGATGTTTATCCAGCATTAAATGATATCTTAAACATTTTACCTCATCCAGATATGGTTTGAACATCAGGATATTTTGAACATCGATAGTATAATAGTGTATTTACTATGTAACTATTTCTCCTCTTCTTCTATTGTGTAATGAATTATCTTCTATAGTTTGGTATCAGAGTAACTGTATGCAATCTTGTTAATGCAATCATCGTTATCAATCAGCAATCCATGAACAGTTTTGACCAAAATAAACTTCAGAATTTCTCTCTAAGATCAGTCCGAGATGTTAGTTAAGGGTTAATATAAAATTTGAATTTTTCTATTATACTATATACTGTGATTAGTTATCCAAAAAAATTATTGTTTTAAAAAATATATCTCTTGGATCCTCTTGTTGCTTCTACTCCCGGAGCTACGAACCTAAAATATGTTACATAAAGGAAAACATCTCCCATCAATATTTCCTTGTGTAGTTTGTATGCCACTGTATATTTCGTGATATATAAATCTTTTTCCAGGGTTTACAGTTGAACACATTCAGCCCATGTTCCTCCCTTCTCCCACCCTCCTCTCCACCTACAGGTCCTCAGTCACTGTCAGATTGAAACAGTTGAGATGTTAACAGCCCGTCTCAGGGAGCAACCTGGCTCCTTCATGATGATGATACAGATACTCAGCTAGCAACAGGCGATGCTTACATCCAACCCAATAATGTTCCAAGAATTCCAAAATTATCATGCAAACAAAGAGTGAGAAACGTAATCCGTCAAACCTGAAAATGATAAACCGAGAACTCTCCCCCTAATCCGAAGCCTGGGGTGAGCCCAAACCTGTTGTTCCAGTACCTGTTGATCTACTCCACGAACATGAAGGTCTACTAAGCTCATATGAAGTGACCATTCATATTCGTCAATAGTTCCTTTGTTATTATTTAACCAACCAATTTCAATCCCTACTGGAAAAAATATTTTAAAACATTTGTCATTTTCCATTTCTCATTCTACTTTTAAAAAATGTAAATAAATATCCTTATCAATCTCGTTTATTTTACTAAACTGACTATTTAGTCAACAATTATGTAAGTACAAAATTTAACCTCAACGGATTTTGATGAATTTGAAACATATAATAATGTTTTTATAACAGAAGCAATATTTACTTAAAATGGGTTGGGTGGGGTGGAGAATGTGTGACACCAGTTCTTGTTAGATCGCTGAAGTTAAGCACACTTGTCCATAGCCAGTAACTGGATTAGTGTCCAAAGGTTCGATTCCTGTACTCCACACAAACCTGTGGTTTCAAAAACATTGGAAGCCGACATCTGGTTAAGCAGTTATGACCACCTGACAGATGTAGGAGGACAGAGGGGTGGCTGTCAACAACTCTCACAGTCAAAGAGTGCATGCTTTCTACTCAACAAGAAAGAAGTTTTAAGTGGATTGATCCAAGTGAATGATGATGAAGATAGGAATGGTGGCCAAGCAGGGATAGTCTATGTTTGACAGCTAAAGGTACATGGGGGTATCTAATCCGGGCTTACAGATGTTAGGGAGTAATGAGTATGATGTTTCCTATCAGTATGACACCCAGGCCTCATTCCAGTATATCAGCAGGATTCTCTATATTCTCAGGCCTAAGGAGAATCTTAGGCAGCTGGAATCTTGTCAACCCTCTTCTCAGTATGAATGAAGCATGGAAGGGTGAATGTGCTGCCAGATTACAACCCCTGAGATGAGATTTTAAAAGCTTAAACCCAACTAAAACCAAAACTCGGGCATAGGATCCAAGTCAGGATTGGTTCTAATTCTACCAATGAGGTTCTGTGTTGCAAGCTTTCTCTCTGTAGCAGACAGAATGCCGTCAGATCAGCTGTGACAAGGGGATGTAAGTTTTTATAATTCAAACTTAATGTAGATACATTATTTTGATAGTATGTTTATTTTATATAATAAATAAAATTTGACACCACAAATAATTTCCGAGATTTTAAATGTACAAATATAAAAGATTTTACGAAATTTACGATCATCAGCTGCTGAAGACTCAAGCCTTAAAGAGAGTAAAACCCAAGATGGTTGGGTCATACTAAACTCAAGGCCATCCAAAACCTGGGTCTTGACTTGAGCTTTACTTGGGTCTCACTCTCAGCAGACTTAAAGAACGGGTTTTACTCGGGTTTAAGCTTTTAAAATCTCATCTCTGGTAGATCAATATAAAAACCCAGACAACAACAAACTTTTGCAATAGAAAAAATTCCGTGATTTGATCGTAACAACCCAATCATGTCCTGAGGACATAAAAATCTCTTTTAGTATTTACTTAAAATGCATCATGGAAAACTAGTTCACACACTCGACAGATATTACACGAGAAACAAGAAACAAAACACTTTATTAAATAGTAAAAACGGTATTATTGGTTGAATGATGAATTCTGTACATAAATATGCATGTCTTGTTTTATTATTTAGATTATATTATATTGTAACGGACGAAATAGTGATCTTTTGGTGTTGTAAATAGTTTGCAGGAGAGACATATATCCCTTTCTCCAACTGTAAAGTGTTCAAGTTATTCTTAACAGCCCCCCAAGTGGGGCCGATGAGAGTCAGGATTACCGACCGACAATTCACCTGGAAATCCTGAGGACTAGGAGGAGGGAGAGACAGCCAAGTATGAGCTGACTGAAGAGAAGGAGGAGGATCAAGATCGTAACTGTTTTGTGTATCTGTGTTCCCTCTGACTGTACAAATGGCCGGGCCAAAGGGGCTGAAAATGTCTTGGACACTGGGTAGCCTGGGGTGACATAGGGTAAAAATATCTGAATTTAAAAAAAAAAATTTCTTCAGCTAGTATAATATAGATTCTAAAACCCATGTTCCTAAGAATCTACCCACCATTCACGCCACTTTGAGCATTAACCGTCTATGTATGAAGCGGTCGATATTGACCACTCACTTTAGTCACCCATTACCCCCTTATGGGTTTACAAATAAATTTTTTTTTTTTAGTTCTGCATAACTTGAGAACCCAGAAACCAAGTTCAAGCATATCTTTGCTCGTTTTTGTTTATATTCAGTGAAGATCTTGATAGGTATTGAGAGGATACGCAAAAATTAGACAAAAATGTGGGACCCCCACTTTTTTACATTTTTAACATTTTCGTGATTTTTGTTTTAAAAAATATGTATAAAGTAGTTACTTTTTATAAAATTCACATTTTAATGGTTAAAATAATTGTTTTAGTATAATTTTGGCAGCTTTTTTGAGCGGTCTTTATCGACCGCTTCGTACATGTGGGGGACATAACAGTAGGGCAAAATAGATGGCTTCCCCAAGTATCAGAATAATATAAACTGCATTGTTCTTTATATTTTCATTGAAATAATGCGGGATAAAAAGGTAGGGATGAGAAGGGATGGGTGGGATGGTATGGGAGGGATGGAAGGGATGGATTGGATAGGAAGGGAGGGATTGGAAGGAATGGATGAGAAGGGAGGAATGAGAAGGGAGGGAGGAATGGAATGGATTCATGATAGTGAGGGAGGGATGGAATATTTCTGAATGGTATATATAATACTTAGTATAAATTTTATGAAAACTAGTTCTAGAAGATAACAGGGGCGTGTACAGGATTTTGTACAGAGGGGACTTAAAACTTTTTTTTACAGGGGGGATCGGGCTCAGAACCCATTGGGGTCTGAAACCCCCCAAGATTTCACTTAACCAGGGCTGACTGCTGAGTAATGTTATAAAGGTGGAGGGGGGATCAGTAATGTTATAGAAGGGGGACGGAGGTAATTGCCCCCCCTCTTTTAGGCCTCCTAAAACAAGCTGTTTTCAATATTTAACTATAGATATGTTTACTTTTAATAGAAAAATTACAAACTTTGTTTGTTCCAGAGCGGTCGATTTTGGCCATTTAAAAATCCCGTGTTGATGAAGCGGTCGATATCGACCGCTGGTTGATATCGACCGCTGTCCCTATCTCTAAAACTGCATTGTATAAAAAAAATAAAAATAGTTCTGTTCCTCAGGGAACATTTCTAAATAAAATTGAAAATTTAAAAAAAAAAAATTTTGAAAAATATTAAGTTTGGACATAGACGGTTAATAATTTATTTTAATTAAATTTTACAATATTTTTAAATTTCAATATGATATCAGATGGAAACATTTTGAGAATTCTATATTTTTTGTTTTTCATTCTTTCTTCTTGATCTTCCATTCCTTGTCCATCCTTCAATCATACTTTGGCTAATTTTGAAAATAGAAATAAATGAATTTTTTGGATGTTTTCTGCAGCTAGCCAAATTGCAGAGGCAGAACTATTTTCTGGAGAACTGTATCTATATTCTATATATTGAGAGTAGCAAGGTTACTCTCTCCCTTGTTTGTTTTTAAAATTTTACTTCAGTCCTGATACTGTGTCAGCTCCTGCATTCCTAACACACTTTCAATAAACTTTTATTGATGGAGGGAGAGAGGGGTGAGGGGGGCGTTTTACACATTTTCCAGATTTTTATCTCAAGTAGGCAGTGTTGCCAACTCCAAAAGAGGGGTTTAGGCCGGAGAGAGGATACAATTAGGCCCAAAATCCAATCTTTAGGCCCATATTTTATAATTTGGGGCGAAGCCTCACACAACAACAAAAATTGGGGGGCGAAGCCCCCCAAAAAAAATTTGGGGCCTGAAAGCAAATTTTTGGGCCTAATTTTAAATATTTTACCAAAATACCTAATTTATTGCGACTTTTGATTCAAATATCTTCCAGCATAAATAGAAGCGACCTGAAAGCTAATAAATTATAATATTCATTTGTATAGAATCCATGATTTGTTCCAGTTTCTACCCAAGGGAATAGGTTCAGACATCTCCATGTTTTAACTTTTATAGTTTACTATATCAACCTTGATGTATGAGGTCTGTGAAAAATTCTAAAACTCACGAAGTAATTTCATTCTTACTTTATCCAAACAATGCCTGGCTGTTTTCTTTACCAATTAAGATCAATAATTTTCATTCGGCCCACAATTTCCTTAGGCCCAAAGCAATTTCATTCGGGCTGTTTTCTCGTTTTGGGCCTAAAGATTCGGGCGGTTGGCAACACTGCTGAAGTAGGACATAGAGGGGGGATGGGACGTCTGCCATCCTGTATATTTGTCTTTATTCGCTATCAGCGAAAAAAAAACAGAAAGTGTAAAAGTCAAATCCCCTTATAATTTTTCCTGTTTATAGTTTTCTTCTTCTTTCTTGTTTATCTTGCTTTAAGCACCCATCTCTACTGTATAGAGATTTCCCTTCCACTTTTTTCTGTTCAATTTATTTTTTCTTCTTGCTTCTTGTTTCTTGTTTTTACACTTGGAGGCCTTTCCAAATAATTCTATTAACATCAAGTTGTGGAGCAGGTAGGAGAGAGATAAGGAGGTTTGTAGGAAGAAGGGTATAGGGGATTTCTCCCTGTGTTCCTTCATTTCATACTGTTTCCCAGGGGAATTAAGGAATTTACCCATAACTGCACCCCATATGCAAAATGGGGAGTTGTGATCCTTGAAAGCTTTCTTGAGAGGTATCTTCCATGGCAGTCCAGTCCTCACATCTGGTCGAGTAAAAAAACCGGTATCATTGTGCATTGCTTGTATTCCCATGAGGGGTTAAACTCCTCTTTCAGTGCACCAAGCTGAAGATGAAGGTTTGTTTTAATCTATGCTTCCAGCTTTCCCTGTAGGATACTAGATGCGTAACTAAACTCAGCGCTTCCCCAGCTGCAATTCTGGGACTGCATAGTAGGTCCGTTCTGCTTGAGAGAAAGCACTAGCAGGCAGCTAGTTAAATGACACATAATTATCTTCTCAGCTTCACATATGCTCTTGAGTTCAAACATAGTATTCTTGGGAATCCTAAAATAAAATAGTTAGATACATAATAGTAGCTTGTATATGTTTAATTCTTGAAAATAAAGTAAATATTTCATCTGCTTCATATTTAACGATATATATATATCATCTGCTTTATATATCAATATATATATATATAAGAAAACTATTTTCATCTACTCCATATATCCAACCATTATATATATCTTCTGCTTTATATAAATCTATTTTTATCTACTAGATATATCCAGATGATATATCGACCAGAACAAGGTTAACAACATCAACCACTGCAATAACATCATCTCCAAGTGATTCAACAACAACAGACACATCAACAACATCAACCAGGACAAGAACTACTTTACCTACATATTCACCTACAGGCCTAGCAGAAGAAAAAGAATTGGAAGATATGAGACGATTTGAAAATGAATTATTAGAAAGAGAAAACTCGCTTGGCAGTACATTTGGGAATCTAACTATACAAGACCAAGAACTTACAAAACAAATACAAGATATTTCTTAGAAAATAGCGAAAAGTCTAACAGATGAACAAGCTATAAACGAGCAAATAACCAAAATAATATTGTCACAAATTTCAGGAGAACAAAATGTGAATAAAATACTGGGTATCTTAGATAATAACATAAAAAGATCAAATAAACTAACTCAAATAATTATGTGTTAATGGACAGGCTTGATATATTCAGTTTAAACATGAGAGAATTAAGTCAACATTTTGGGTCAAGTGCTATCCAATCGCTAAAACTCTCAAAAGCTAAAATAGTCTGGAATAATGAGGAATTCACAATTTTGGTAACGATACATAAATTATGGGAACCATTTCAGATCTTTAATAAAAAATCTATGGTCGTTTCTTATGACAAGAAAAATCTGGAAATGGGAAACGGATTAATGATTGAGCCAGGTGTAGCAATTAACTCACTAGGAGAATGTATATTCAGTTAAGAATTTATACAAAAGTGCACTACAGTAGGGAACTCCATTTAATGTAATGGCAAAGACGTTCGGGTTCATATTAACAGAACTAATACATGCAAACTAATTATTATTCATAACTGGCTGAACAACAACACAAAACCATACAACCCATGTTATGACAATATAGTAATTAGGCCCACAAAAGAACAAGACTTCATCATTAAAGAAAACTCCATCATTATTATGAGCAGAACAGAAGACATTGGTAATTACCACTGTTATGTGAAACTGCTAAAAAAAAAATTTTTTTATATATATATATGGAAAACAACAAAAAGAAAAAAAATCAAAGCTATCTTCGATAAAATAAAATTTCTTATTATTTAACTATATTTTGGTTGAGGATGCATAAATAACAAACTAATTTTAATTTACCTTTGATTTATTTACTTTATTCTTATTCAAGTTTAAATATTTTTTAACTTTTGAATTTTCTTATTTTTCAGATTTATTTTAACTTTTAATTATTTTTCAGGAATATTATTGAATTAATTACTGTAATATTTTTAATTTCAGGAAAATTAATAGTTAAAATTCAAGTTATTAAAAACAATAGTGAAAAATAAACTTAGTAAACACACCTGACAAATCTTTGGAGATAAAAAGGGAAAACTCCTGGGAAAGAATGTAATATGGGATGGAATAAATCACAAATATGCTTGATGGAGAATGATGAAACAAATTCATCTTGGAAAGCCGCCCATTGGATATAAAATTAACTTCTCGTATCAGGATTGGTCAATTTACAACAAACCCTCCTCATACCAAGAAAACTAGTTTCTAACATAGAAACCTCAATGAAAAGACGTCATCAAAACACAACTCAAAGACGATCAAAAGGAATCAGATGAATCCTTCAAAGAGGAGACAAACAAAGGAAATAATCCTGAAGATACAAGCCATCAGACAAGAAAGTAAAAACAAAACCCATCTGAGGCTGGATAAACCATCCTAAATTCATATATCCTTTGAGTACAGTAATTTGTTCACCCAAATTGCTAGAAACGATCCCTTTGGAGTTTAGACTGCCCGAGACTGCTCGCACCGGTGGATCGGAGCACTGACGGAGATAGAGGCATGGGTACAAGATGACTTCGGGGCTGGACGGCTCTGAAGAGCTCACTCTCATTCAATCTATCATTTCGGTCTGACATGTGTTTACTTATTAGAAAAAGCCTTTAACATTCATATTCTTTGTATTTCAGACATAAAATGAGGTCCGTGGAAATCCCTAGATTCTCATATATTGGTATAATAGACGCAAAGGAAAGTTTTTTGCTTCTTATTTTAGCTAGATCTGGGCAAAGTTTTGCTCACAAAACAAAGGTTTTTGAAAATTAACTGGAGAGTCCCTTAACGAACAGCAAAAACCGTTAATTTTTTAATTATGAACGACACAGGTTAGGCATTTTTGAAAAAAAATAACAGTTAAACAGTTAATTTCGATTTTTCTGATTATTATTGCATTACACTTTTTAAAAAAGATTTGAAATTTTTTACGTGTTTTGATGTTTTTAGAATTTGCCTTCTGTGTTAATAAACCATTAAATAATTTTTTTTGCCGTTAATGTAATTAATGCTAAAATATACCAATAACGGCATGATAGCCAATATTGATTTCATTCACCGCTAACCTTGTAAAAACTGGACCATTACGGCTGTTGAAAATTTTCCGTTAACGCCTGTAATAAAATTGAGATCCTTAACGTTAATGTTCCATTCTTACTTTTGAAATTAACGAATACCTGAAATTTTTCTTTTTTAACAGTTGAAACTAACCGTTAATGAAACAGCTAGAAAAAGTGCCCAGCCCTAAATTTCTAGCAAAATCGTTTGGAAACATAAATTTCTGAAAGACCCAAATTCCATGCATACAGATATGTTATGCGGCTCTATGTTTTTTTGTGGTTTGAAAATAGAAAGCAGAAATTGAAAAGTAGAAAAATCAAATAAAAACTGAATTTTGAAAAAAGAAAATTAATTGCTATTTTCTTTTTATTCACAGATAGATACACTTTTCTCATCTTTATTTTTTAAAATTTATTTACGCATTTTTAAGAATTTTTTTAATAAATGCTGCAATAATTAGATCTTTTTCCTTTTCTATTTCTTGTCTAGCCTTCTTTGATTCTTTTCGTTTGTTTTTACTTGCTTTTTTTCTCTCTTTTTTAATCATTTTCTTTCCATCTTTTTTTCTTTTGTTGAGTCTTTTTTTCTTATTTTTCTTAGCTTTTTCCTTGCTTTTTTTGTCTATTTCTACACTTTTTTCTTTTAATATATCCATTCTTTTCAATACTTGTTTATCCCTTTTCTCAATTTTTTCATCTTCTTTCTTTTTTCTTTTCTTTTCTTTTTTACTTTTCCTAGATTCTTGCTGTTTTCCCCATAGTTGGTCCATAGCACCCTCATATAGTCTAAAACTTGGATCTTCTTCAGAAGCATCTTTCTTGTTAAATATGTTCTTAGGACAAACCCTAAAAGACACACTGTTTTTTAATTATTATTAGTTTCTATGTTCTTCTTGTAAAAAAAATGGGAGAGATTTATAAAATATAAACAAATGTTAAGGCTTTAATAATCTATTAATCGAACCTTATATTTGTAAACTTTCGTTTCTTGCATTCTTCCTTGGTTTCATCACTCTAATAAAATTTATTTCCAATTAAACTTGTGTTTCAGAGAGGTGCAGGGCCAGAAAAAAATCCATAAAGACATCAAGTAGACCTCCTTTAAAAGGAACTTCTCATGTTACTAACATGATCCTTAACTGTCCAGGGTTAGGTTATTTTAAATAATCATTTGGGAAATATTAGAAATCTATGTTTTTGGGCGCTATGACATCTGCTCTATTTCCATTTGCTCTATGGTCATTTCCTCAGTTCCATTTGCTCCATTAACCATTTGATCTATAACTCATAGATCACGACATTTGCTCTTTATGTCATCTGCTCTATACATCAATTGATCTATGACATAACACGTCATTTGCTCTATAAACATTTTTATGACTGTGATGGTCCAATTGCTCTACTCAACATTTGCTCTATGAGTAAACACGTCATTTGCTCTATAAACATATTTATTCAATGCATCACATTCAGCTAACAGGAAGTTTATTTGAGCAATATCTGATGGATGGCTGTGCTCAGGCAAGTTTAGAATATCTTTACCATCTATGAAAGTTTTAGCCATGGCAGAACAATTCTGCCTTCTATATTCAAGACATCTCCAGTTCTGATAGACACTCTGTTTGTTTAGAGTAGAATAAATATAGTTTTCACCACATATTAGGTTTTTTTTACCCCTCTTATTATTGAGCAGTCTCGCTGTCATGATGGACTTTGAAGAACTTATGAAAACTGCAATTTGCGAATTTTTCAAAAAAAATTCCCGCATTTTATAGTCAAGTTACGCTCAGGAATTCCAATAAAAGCTATTTTATAGTGTATTTTTATGTTATAAAGAAAATGGCGTGTTTAGTCATAGGAAGATTGAATATAGGGCAAATTATGTATAGAACAAATGACGTATAGAGCAAATGACTTGATAGAGCAAATGGAACTAGAGCAAATGACCATAGAGCAAATAGAAATAGACCAGATGTCGTAGCGCCATGTTTTTGTTTTTAAAATCTGTTAATTTCCTTTTTTTTGGCTTCTTTAAAGAATTGTCTTGCGCTATTATTGTTTCAGAATTAATGGAGGAATTCTCAGAATTAATTACTATTCTGGCTTGGAAAATCGATGTTATCTTCCATATCGGGAAAACAAATTTGTTAGGTTGGTTCCATAAAAGTTAAAAAAAAATATTGAACTATACCTGATACTTTTTGTTTGTCATCACGTTTTTATTTTCTAAAATAAGAAAGAAACATCATCAATATTTTTTGTTGAATTTCTAAATCACTTACTTAGATCACAAAAAGTATCTTTGTCATAAGAATGAATGAATTTTCCAATTTCTTCAAAAGTGACTGGTTCTGGCTAAATATATAATTTCTAATTTGACAACTGCTTTACAGAGAAGTTAAGGGAATTTTTCTATGCCAAGGGTTCCTAAAAGCAATTTTACTTACAAAACATCCAAAGCGAGGGATGTTTTGTTGGCAAAATTGGTTGAGGTAATGCGTGGTGAAGTAATATTTTTAATTAGTAAAAAAGTAGCTAAACACAATTTTGATTTTCTTTTTAGATGAAAAATGTTCTAGTTTTTTTATGAAAACTTCTCAGAGCAAGGTCATGGCTTTACTTTATTGTACCAAGAAACATGAAAAAACTTAACGTCCATTTGTTGTGAAAATTCAGGGGTAAAAAGGCCTTAGAATTTCTATAATAAAATCTTACTGCACATGTATCTAAATACTGACAAAATGTTCCCCTGAAACCAAGTCTCTAAAAATGAAATAAAATCATGTCATATAAAGCAGTACATGTCACATGTCATATACAACACATTTTCTAACAAATATATATAATCTTTTTTTTGCTCAGCACCAGAAAATTGTGCCTCCCTCAAAATTGTGCAAACAGTCTTTTTTTCAGAACAACATTTTTGATATCCTAATCAAATTAACTTTTATATTTTTTATCCAGAATATGTCTGTTTTAAAGAAAAAAACATTTATTTGTACACAAACTCAAGTTTGTATTGACTGGGTTCAATATGGCTCATAAATCTAGATTTTCTAAGTCATATTTCTTATTAAATTAAAAAACTAAGGTTGAAAACAAAAGAATTTTGCTTACCAAATCAGAACTGTTTGATTCAATATTATATTTTTCTTGTGCATCATATATATTTGCGCCACCCAGCGGGTTTTCTACAAATTTACAGTTCAAAATATTAAAATATTAAAATATTAAAGTATTAAATATCTAAAAAAAAATTTCAATTAAAGATTCTAATGACATCAACTTTAGATACTTTCAATAGATTTTCAGCAAAAAGGAGAAATTTTTCAAGAAAAAATGGTTTTTTGCCAAACATTTTGCTAAATAAGAATGGCGAAAAAATTATTTTCCTTTTAAAATCGTTTTCACGTAATTTCCCATCGTTTTCACATTTTTTCACTTAATTCATTTTCGCCAAAAAATGTAAAATTAATAATAAAAACTGTATTTTACCATAAATAAAATCAATCAAAAGTTCAACATTTTAAAAAGCATGATTTTATCGAAAACTATATATACAGTTTTTAATCAAAAATACAAGTAATTAACATTTTAGCAAGTATCATACATTTTAAACTGTGCTACCCTAAAGGTGATTTAAACTTAATCGAGACCAGGCCAGTAAATTCATCCTGAACAAAAATATTATAAAAATCTAAAAAAGATAAAATTTTAAGCATAATTATTAATTAAGAAACTCACAATTTGAAAGTATTGCCATGGTAACCTTAATTTTTTGGATTTTTAAGAATTCTTAATTGCAATTTTTCAGTATTTTGTAAAAATTATTTAAAGTGGCGTGACTAGGGGGGGCGCCCCCACCCTAGCTTGACTCCAGCATGATCATGATTGTAAAGCATGTTTTATCAGATTTTGTCAATTAAGAAAAAAATACCAATTTTGTCTTTAGCGCTTCACGCATCATTTCTAATAGAATTTCTAACTATTTTTTTGTTTTTGAAAGACTGTCTATCATTCTTAAAGGGAGTGTTTGCGAAAAATAGGCTTAATGCGATAATAAAGCGCTTTTGATCTCTACTAATCTTACTTCTAGCTGAATTGCATCTATAAGGAGAAAATTGTTAAAAACGACAAATACCGAAGAAGGTAGTGTCCATATAAATTCAGAAAGATGCAACATACGACTTAGACCGTAAAAAATCTATTTAATTTCAAACAAATCATTCAGATATTACAACCTATAGTCATTGATTATCTTTTGCAACATTTGTATATAGTTGTTTTTACATAATATGTTTTAATTGTTATGATCTGAGAGTTACTTATAAAAACATTTATTCCTGTTACGAGGATTTTTGGTAATGAAGACGACATTTTAATATTTTCCAGGAATGTTCGAAAACAAGTTGTAAGCTTATTATTAATTAAAAAAATAAAATCAAAACATATTATGAAAAATCAAATATATACAAATGTGGCGAAAGACTCCCTTTTTTATTTTTCGCAAACACTCCCTTTAATTTATCCTCCTTTCAAAAAACCTGTATATATTTTATTTCTCATAAGTATTGCGATACAAATATCATTTAGGGCTAAACAAAATCTGTCAACCTAAGAAAAATAACAAGAAATATAATAAGGTTTATATGGAACTAATAGGACTTTTGCAGACTATAAGAGAAAAACAGTGCCTCACTAGCAAACAAGGACAGAAGGACTTCGATCAGAAAGACTATTATGAAATATGGACAGACTAAATATAGTCAAGTACTGCTTAGGACTGCACAGACCTACGATTAAGGGACACTATAGTGGACAATTATGACAAATAGATGAATTACAAAAAAAATGCAGACTGTAAATACAGACTGGGGACTATATATACAAAGTTAATATGACTAAGCCAGGGACTAGCAGACACTAATAAATACATGTAAAAACACTAGAAGACCAGAAATTTTTTGGCGCTTCGCGCACATGTTTAAATAAAATTAATTGGCTCATATCATTCATTTTAAAGCTGTTGAACACCATAGTTTCAGTGGGTGTAAATATTTCCATTTACTGTTATAACGCCGATATAAGGATTTATCTCTAATTGGATAATGAGCTACATACAAAGATAGATGTTGCCGCCATGCAGTTTTTATTGGTTCAGAATAGACAACAAACACATGGCTGAACCCTAATTGGATCAGGCGCTAATGGACTCGGCAAACTGGAGTGTGAAGTATATATTTTTAAACACAAGAACAAGCCATGGTCATTACAAGCCCCTCGAATCATTTTGCACCTGCCCCTCAAAAAAGTGTTCGCT